GCGTAGAATACGATGCCGAGTGGTAATCAGTCCGCCGTTGGGGCATTTTCGAGATATTCGGGGTCAAAGGTCAAATGGGTTCATTTGCACTGAAAGTGAACGCGCAGTCATTCTTGTATCATGAAAATAAGCTGAAAATGATCGAAAGTAATCACACTTTCAATAAAAATGTAAACTTGCTAGATTCACCTTGGTTCTTTGTGATCATAGAGGTCAAAAGGTCACATTTTCCGTTTTAGCACTAGGAAGATTTAAAGTTATAAATGTCAGCGTAAAATATAAAGATAGGTTGCCAGGCAACGAAACATACGCCCACAGCAACTAAATCGTCCGGGCAGTCAACAAGGGTTGTTGCATATTTTTACTTTTTTCGGTAATGAAACATTTATAATACACTAAAATCTGATTAAGAGCAACAACTCACGAAGTAATTATCAGAAAACTATTAGAATTTGTTTGGTTTAGAGCATCACAAGATTTTGCAAAGTGATCAAGCGCCATAACTTTGGCAGTAATTATCGGAAATCGTTGAAAATCAATAGGAATCTTCGTCTCATGACCTCAAACACTGTGTATAAATTTAAACTCAATCAGATATTAACTTTAGCCTCTAGAGCATCCACAAGATTTTTTGAAGTGATCAAGGGCCATAACTCTGGCAGTATTTATCGGAAATCGCTGAAAATCATTAGGCTTCTTCGTCTCATGACCTTAAACAATGTGTATAAATTTAAAGTCAATTGGATATTAACTTTGGCCTTTAGAGCATCCACAAGATTTTTTGAAGTGATCAAGGGCCATAACTCTGTCAGTAATTATCGGAAATCGCTGAAAATCAATAGGCTTCTTCGTCTCATGACCTTAAACACTGTGTATAAATTTAAAGTCAATTGGATATTAACTTTGGCCTCTAGAGCGTCCACAAGATTTTTCAAAGTGATCAAGGGCCATAACTCTGGCAGTAATTATCTGAAATCGCTGAAAATCAATAGGCTTCTTTGTCTCAAGACCTTAAACACTGTGTATAAATTTAAAGTCAATCAGATATTAACTTTAGCCTCTAGAGCGTCCACAAGCAATTGTGGACGCCGGACCGACGGAATCCCAGTCTAGGAAAACCGACGTTAATCTGCGACGGAAAACACGTATATGGCGACGAGATTAAATGTTTGCAAATTCTTTATGAGTTTTTATGAATTTCGCCGGAACATGGACGCAGATAAAACCGACGAATGCATTGTACATAGTAGTTCACAGGATATATATGTCGTAATGGTCAATGTTAGCAGGAAAATTTTGGCAGGCTTTGTGACGCGGCCTGCAGGCTGGAGTCCAACACTGAAACTATTCAATTGTTTTTCAGATAACTAGTATCATTATGTATAACAATCGTTGTGAAAATAAATCGGAGAGATCTCGATTTGACAGTTTTTACGTATTTTTGAAAAAGGTTTCAAAATGTGTTGGTTCTGTTATGCAAGATCATTTTCGACGTTCCAAAGTAAATGTTCTGTGCTAAGACCACCTAAAGATACATTTTAAATGTTCCTATTATTAATTAGAACAGGTTTCGCTTTAGTTTTTATATCTTACGTTGACATTTTATTGCTTTAAATCTCCCTAGTGCAAAAACGGTAAATTTTACCTTTTGACCTCCAGGGTCCCTAAGACTAAAGATGAATTTAGCAAGTTTACATTTTTATTGAAAGTGTGATTACTGTCGATCATTTTCAGCTTCTTTTCATAATACAAGAATGACTACGCATTCACTTTCAGTACAAATGAACTCATTTGACCTTTGACCCCGAATATCTCGAAAACGCCCCAACGGCGGACTGATTACCACTCGGCATCGTATTCTACGCAAAATTTCACCCTAGAAAAGTTGGGTCTGGTTTTGTGCCCATTTGATGGACACCCCCCGCGCTCAGCCTCCGGTCTAACATGAAATCTACAGAGTCCTATCTTGTTAAAGAATAATCACTAACAGTTGAGACATTGGTTGGGTTTAAACAATATTTTTAAACCCAAAAATATACATGAGTATACAAGTATATATTCCTCCAGATCGTTGATTGAATTTATACAATATTTTATTTTGAGTATAACATGAGAATATACAATACTGATATATACATGTTCTCCTCCAGCTCCTTCACACCAAGTGTAGTATTAACAGTTAAAAAGCTGAGTACTTTAAATGACACGACTGTGGGGGAGTCTAATAATAAATCAATACACTGTTTCCTTATTGAAATGTGTCAACGACCTAATCACACTTGGTTTGATTTATAGAATCTCTACAAGTTAACAGGTAGACAACTGGATTGAGAAATAGTGGGTTGCAAGATAGATATATGAGTATGTAAACGGCAGCCAGGTGTTAAAATTCAATGGTCATCAATGCTGTATGTCTGGCTATTTTGATCTTAGATCTTTGCTACAGTGCCATGGTCGTGCTGGTAAAGAGTGATCGTATTTCAGACCTGTTCATAAGGAAAAACTTCCACTGTGTGAAATTGTCACTCTTACCTCTTGCAATCCATATTAGACAATCAAGAGAGAGAGAGAGAGAGAGAGAGAGAGAGAGGGGGTCATTTCAAGACAAACATATGGTTCAATATATATTTATATTCAATAACTTTTAATTGCTTAAACATGCATTATGCAAGAGCAAAATCTGCTTATTACAAGTCTTTCTTTAAGCCTGAAATGTCATCTAAATTATCAATTAGACATTAATTAACTTATCCAGACCATAATAAACTCTCGATGTCAAGGCTAGCCTTCGATGTAGGCTGGATTAGATTCCTATATGCCGCTAACGGCCAAAGTTAATTAAATCTGAAAAAGTGGATAATCGAGACTATGCTGTTTATATTAATGATTTTAGTAATGATAACCAAGACTATGCAAAAATTTCACCGGCTTCTTTCTCGGCTCATAGTGGATCAATTTGACTGAAATTTTCAGCAAATTACCTTTACACTATCTTGTTTTAACTATTATAGCGAGAACTGCCATCTCTTTATCTTATCTCCCATAATGTATCTTTAAATTAAAGTTTTCAAAGATTCAGTTAGTTTGTTCATGGCTCTAGTATTGTATGTTTAACTTTTAAGCTGATACCAAGACTGGATACGGTTGGTTTTTATCAGTTAATAAACAAATGGTTAAATGAAGATGGCGATACACCATACTTATAGTGAAATTTTGCCCAGACAGCGGATTTTCCACCAACTCTTAATCAAATTCCAAATCTAAAGGGTTCTTCTACATGCACATAAATTTTCTGTACCATCCGAATGACTAGACAACTGTTCCTTGTCCGGTTCTATGACAAGATAAAACCATGCAGGAAATTTACCGTCCAACACCAGGAGCGAACCTAGCAAGCCAGTGTCTTACTAAGGCAACACTGCTTCCTATTAATTAATATACTATGGTGTGGTCAAGCATCATTCACACTAGGTAAAAGAAGCAGAGTATATCCTTTGTTTACTTTCATTAGATCAATAATCATACTATTGACTGGAACCACTGGGGAAAACGATCAATTAAATAAACAAATCTTTATTAACATTAGTTTTTACCTAAACATTGGCTATGCTTCACCACGTTCTCTATTTTTATACATGTATAAATAATAACAGTGTCAATGTGTGTAATATACACTTTAGACGGTGCAATATTACAAGAAAAATGGGTTCCCAGGAAAAGGAATATATGTCCACGGTAGTAAATTGTCTGATAAAAAGTTACAAGGGCAATAACCCATAGTAACAGTGTCATTGATGGGAATGTCAACGTGTGTAATTTATAAGACTAAAACAAAATATGGGTTGCCTGAAAACGAAACATGTACCAACAGAGGTAAATTGCCTGATAAAGAGATATCAAGGGCAAGAAATGCAAGACACGACGTAATTATCGGAAATCATTCAATAATACAGACTAAAAGAAAACATGAGCTGCCAGGAAACGAAATATATGCCCCCATCAGCCAATCGCCCAAGCAGTCCACATTAAAAGATGTGAGTCTTTTATATATCGCACTTGAGCATTTACCAGTACAAGACACTAAAAGTTTACCAAGGGCAACAACCTATGTAGTAATATTCATAAATCTTTAAATATTTCAGACTAAAAAGAAAAAGAGGCTGCCAAGCAATGAACATACACCGATAGAAGCAAATCTATATGACTAAGTATTTTACAGGTCACTTGAGCAAGGCATTAAAATGTTATCAAGTGCAATAACCTATGTAGTAATTAAGTAATTATCAGAAAGGATTCTTGCCAGAATTAACCTAAACAGCACATCAATCAGATGCTAATGTTAGCTGCTACAGCAACCACAAGAATCTTCAAAGCGATCAAGAGCAGAAACACCAAAGTAATCATTGGAAATCAATAGACTTCTTCAGATGAAAACTTTAGCAACTTAAAGAGTTAGAAGACTTTCAAAGTGATCAAGGGCAATAACTCATTATCAGGGCAGAAATCATTGAAAATCAGTAGACTGCTTCATCTCCAAAGCACAAAGATTGTGTATAAAGCCAATCGTAAAATAAATCTACATGCAGCCGTGACAGCATTCAAAAGATTATTCAAAAATCAAAGTGAGCCAGAGCTAAAACTATCTAATAATATCAAGAAATTTCGATGATAAAGTGCAGGCATATAGTTTATTTTGGGACTAACACATGGTACATGTATCAATAATTTGTTTGCATCCTAGGGACTTTAACAGTGGGCGACCTTAATAACAGACCGTATGATTAAAAGTGCCTGAGTTAGACTAGACAAACGTCCTAAAGCTAAAATATACTTTTACACCACAAAAAATAAAATAAAATGTACTTATTGGGAGTAGCTCACCGTCTCCCAAATTAACTTGTAATGATTAAGTTGATAAGTGGATCGCATCAACAATATTCATGAACCAAGGAATTATTATGATATCTTGAACAGAACACAATTAAAATAAAGATTCTTACCTAAAATCTTGATTTGAATTTGAATGGCCTGGTTTTATCTGAAAAATATAATAAAAATATATACAGAGACAGTATAGTACAGTGAATTTTCATAACACGTAAAAATATACAGGTCTATTAGAGGTGTATGAATGAAATGGTGTTTAACGTCCTATTTTTCTGCTAATGAAGACAGCCGCACACCATGCAGTGTGATATGAAAGGAAATGTTGCTACCCACTCTTTGTCGAATAGTTCTATTACATGCAGAGTTTTCTGTCCCATCCAAAGGACAAGGTTTGCATACCCTTACATACTATAAACATCATGATCATTTCACTAACCAAACTACCTTCTGTATATTAAATCATTTGTCCAATATCCAATATACCTTTTCGATTAATTAATTGAGAGTAAACATCTTTCTTTCTACAGTGTAATTTATTTATATTTAAGTAAATGATTTCTATATACCTGTTTTCAGATCCCATAATTATTGTATCTTTGTAATATGTAAATATTTATTGAATAAATTGAACACTAACAAGAAATGAGAAAAAAAACAACAAGATGTTGTTCTTTGCCAAGCCCTCCACCCTGAGAAACTGTTTCGACCAATACTAGGACACACACACTGGCAAGACCGTGCACATAATAAAAACCTTCACATTTCGAATTGGAAATAAGAGTAGGCCAAAGTACCGATGTCTGCTTAAATTTCCCTAATAGCACACTGTATGGTGTGTGTCTGTCTTCAATAGCCCCGTCAGTGCAGCACAGTAAGACTTAAACCCATTGTATTATCAATTAAACTGGATAATATACTGTATGTAATATGCATACAATTACAATGTATAATAGTTTCATATACATTGTATACAATGTATAATAGTTCCATATACTGACTATATGCATACAAAGTATAATAGTTTTATATACACTGGTTAATATAATGTATAATTGTTTCATATACACTGGATAATATACAGTATATGTATACAATGTATAATTGTTTCATATACACTGGCTATAATATGAATACAATGTATAATAGTTTAATATGCACTAGTTATGTTTACAATTCATAATAGTTTCATGTACACTGATTAATATATACCGTAAAGAAGTTTCATATACACTAGTTAATATACAATGTATAATAGTTTTCTATTGATTTTATATTGAGAGAGAATCTGGTTGACTGAGGTATTGATTACCCTTGAACAAAAGACAAGATTTTAACATTATTATTACATGTACCACACCCTAAAATCTCATTCACAGATCAGACTTCTTTAGATTTCGATATTGCTTATAAAAGCTTTCGTGACATTTTATACATTGCATACAGATTTTAAACTCTCGCATTTCACTAATATTAAACATCACACATCGCATACAGATTTGGAACACTAGATTTCTTTAATATTATACATCACACATACAATGTACATGTATCTCTAATATCATACTGCAATCACCCTTACTTTTGATTTCCAAAATATTAAACACCGCAATTCTGCATACTTTTGACTCCATGCTATTAAACACTGTAATCCCACATCCCTAATATTAAACACTGCAATCCCCCATACTTTTGATATCTATACTAATATTAAACACTGCAATTCCACATACATTTGATTTCCCTAATATCAAACGCTGCAATCCCACATACTTTGGATATCCTTAATATTATCCATCATTCATCACACACAGACATGGAACTCTCGATTTTCCTAATAATATTCTTTATCATTATACAATCATTCATCGCAAACAGGCTTTTGATATCCTTAATATTATTACATATTCCAATCCCACACAGACTTGGGGAATTTTGGTATCTTAAATTTATAATTATTAATATTATACATTCACCCATCACACAGGTTTCTCTATTTCTCTAATATTATACATTGTTATCATTCAGAGATACACGTAGTAGACTACTCTACCCCTTAAAATATGCTATACATCTCACTTGCATCCCATCCATTAAACAGTATTTATAACCATATGACGAAGTGAAAATATCTCTCAACATTCAACATACCCCACAGACAATACAAACAAGCCAAAAGGTCCTACATGTAATAGTGCTGGGTTATCAACCGTTAAAATTTTTATTTTGTTTACTTAAGAAAGCATGAATTAAGCTGTCAAAAATTAAATTTCGTTCGAAAAAGATTGTCAACTTTTATGAAATTGTCAATTCATCTGAATACTTGACAGAATTATTACCATGAGATGTTTTTGTCACTAACACTGTAATCATTATGGTTGATATGGGAGTGGTCTTAATTATAACAACCGAGACCAAACATTAAAATACCACTCCTATATCAACAAGTTCAAATATTTAAAATACAATATAAAATAGGGTTTATTGTCCTGCTCTTCTGTACAAATAAATACAGCAAACATTTAAAGCAACAGACCGTTGTTTTTATTTTACAGTCTATGTCTTCTCTTTAAACCAAGCTAAAGTACCGAATCTAGTTATGATGGGCCTTTTTTAAGTCTGATTGAATCCGAAATAGGACGATTGTCTACCATTGATATTTTGGTTTCATTTTCTTATTTAGATGTTAAAAAATCAATCTTTGTACCGGTACATTTACTGAAAAATGCAAAATGCCAACTATATATATTGGAGAAAAAAAGAGAACAAGCTCTTTGGGTAAACAGCACAGCACCTTGCAACCTCTTAATTGAATATTTTTTTCAATGTGATTATGTCACTATCCTCAGAGCAGAGTACATGTACTGTACATGCCTGAATTTTTCACGACTAATTGTTAATATTAAGCACATGATAGTACATGCAAATATTATTATTGGGAACACCCAATAATTCGAAGAAGAATGGAGTTCGCAGGCGTGCACATAACCAGTACATGTTCTGCACAAAGCAATACCAAGCGATAAAATAAATAAAAAGATAGATTGCCAGGCAAGATAATGTTTGACGCTCACAATCAAAGTTGTTAAGCTTCTTCACCGAGATGGAACACTAATTGTTTAACGCCCACTGACTCTCATCCTTCTTATCACATTCGTATTCATGTATACATTTTCATGCAAGAATTCCACATAAGGGAGACCTTGGGCTCTCTTCATGAAAACTTAAACAAGTTTGAACATTCTAGCTCAATTAGAAGGTGAGTTATTGTGTCCCAAAAAGTGTAACAGACAGACAGATGGGCAGACAGACAGAAGAACCCATTTTAATAGTCCCCTGCTTTTTTCAAAAGGGGGGGGGACAAAAATATATGAATATATGAGAGCGAGAGAGAGAGAGAGAGAGAGAGAGAGAGGGTATCCTCCACACAACAAAAACTAGGTTATTTTCGGGACTAACATATATGGTTCATTTTTATTTTAGAAGTCTTTAGCAGTAGAAGGAAACCGATGGACCCAGAGAAAACCCATGAGGTTGGACAGGTGACCCTGCTCGTTGTCCCGCACAAATGTGGAATCGAAACCACACCACTTGACTCAATGACAGACCTTCTGATCCAACGTGCAAGCGATAACCATTCAGCCACCCATTCAGCCACCCAACCCCACTCATACGCCATGCAGTGTGTCAAACTGAACCAATTCACTCGAACTATGCTCTTCACATTACTGTTTTCCTAAATTAAACTGAGTCATATACAAACAGACTGGTGTTAAACAGGAAGTTTTGATTCAATTAAAAATTTATGAATAAAACAAATAAAAGGAAACATAATAAAATATGATATAAATATACAAATATGTCACCAAAGAAATAATTATGACAATGACCTACTAAAGTTATCACAAAGTTTTGTTTGGGGAAATAGGTGATTCATCAGCAAGTGTTATACGGAAATGAAATGAAATGATAAGGGGTTTATTGTTGTATAGACTGATGAAGATATGTCATTGAGTGTGCTACAAGGCATTCATCCATATTTTCCGGCGTGGTTTCCCCTTGTCAGTGATGCAGGACAGGGGGCCTAACAAGGACAGCTGTCTAGTCTTTCGGATGGGACGAAAAACTGAGATCCCGTGTACACATTGGCGTGTACGTAAAAGATCCCTTGGCAGTATGTATGGTGTATGCCCATCTTCATTAGCCCAGTTTAGGAGCAGAACAGTAGGACATTAAACCCCATTTCATTTTGTGCTACAAGGCAAGGGCAATTTTGCCCAGACAGCAGCGTTTCGGCTTACTCTTCATCAAATTGCAACTGTTAAGGCTTCTTTAATGTGCACAGTCCCCTCAAATAACTAGACGCTGTTCCTGTCATGTTTTCCATCTCGACCGACACCCGAACCTCCTGATTAGTGAGCCTGTACTTAACTCACTGAGTCACCGAGTTTAACGAGAAGAGTCAGAAAATGAATAGACTAGATCGGACTCAAACAAAACAAAATGGCAATTTAAAGTTGATCAATAGTTTTGATAACAAAAGTGGATATAAGTGAATATTATGTAATATGTCTCGTACGGACTAATCAGAAAAATATAATACACTGCCAAATATAAATTATATATACATTATATATACATTGAAATATATATATACATTTCTAACAACTGAACTCAGAAATCTGGTGTAAACCAAAAATTGTTTGTAATGTTGATTTTATTGGTTTCGTAAGAGTTAGGAAGAATAAGTTGATATCATTCACTTTTACAAATGAAAATGTATGACACAAACACATCTACAATGTAAGTCGTCAATGTTTAGTCAGTTCAAATTGTCAGTAAATACGGTGTGGTCCATTAGTATGTGTTATGTCCCTTAGGTGTTAAGACTGTGACTAGTGATTGGTTAGGTTTGTTACATTTTTGCACTAGAATTAACATCTTTAACAGCTTGTTACACACCTGATAATTAATGACTACTGTATAATTTCTAACCACATTCTTCTATACATAATAAACATAAGTTTAAAATAATGATCCTTATGATTTAATGACAAAACATTTGATTAGTAAAACGATTAGGTTTACAAGTGAATAGTATCAGTTTCACAATGTTAAAGGGCATATGGTTCTATGCTTTGGAGACGAAAATGG